GTGGGGACCTGGTGCAGTACACTTTGGGATTTGTAATAAATTGGGATCTGGAAAATATACCTCCTTAACCAAAAATTTATGGAAGAAATCTTCTCTTTCTTACAGAAGGAAGCTCTGTAACTTTGCCAAGCAGCAGCAGAATTGTTCAGATCAGAAAGAGGGTTTTTCCTTGCAAAGAAAAAAACTTTGCAGATGTTTGTTTTGATTTTTGTCCCATACTTTCACTCAAGTTGTTCATCATGTGCAGAGTGTAAGAAAGATGACCTTGACGGAGATAGGTGAGATCCATTACCAAAGCAGCAAGGGGAAAAAATGTAAGTCCAAAATAAGCATAAAGCATGCAGAAGCAGCTGAGACACCTCCCTAATTCACGTGGCTATAAGAAGGGGAGGAGGTATTGCACAATCACACTTGCAAGATTCTGTTATGATTGATTATGTGTCATCAAGTTGTTGTTGACACTTAGCAACCACACAGATTGATTTTCTCCATGATGATCTGTCCCTAACTTGGTCCTTCAGATCTTCCAACTGTGCGCTTGTTGCTATTGTAACTGAGTCCATCCATGTTGCTGCTGGTTGTTGTCTTCTTGTCTTTCCTTCCACCTCAGAGCCTTCTCCAGAGGCAGGTCTTCATGTAATATGTCTGAAGTAGGATAATTGGAGACTGGTCATTTGTGCCTCAAGTGAGAACTCTGGGTTGATTTGTTCAATGATTCATTTTTTAATTTTCTTGTCTGTCCATAATATTCTTTGGAGTTTTCTCCAACATCTGTTATACCCAATCTCAATAAAAGTGTCTTAGCCTTCCTGTGGAGTTGATTCCTGGTCTGGTCTGCCTGGCAGGACTGACATCATGACACCAACAAACAATCTTTCCCATAATATACAGCTGTCAAAGTTGGACACTGAAAAAATTGAGAGAAAGAAGATAGCCACCTCCACATTATGGATATGGATATACTTGCTAAGAGTGTTATGGTCTGCAAAAGCAACCAATCAATTAGCCCTGAACCAAATAAAAGTTAATGATGATCAGTGGGCAGAAATTCATACGCTTTGGGCCTGGGATATGAATGGTTGATGGACTAGAAAAAAATAACTATGCTTTCAAAATAGAAGGAAGTAGAAGGGAAAGACAACAGATAACGTAAGTAAAGAGGATCAAAGAGATTACAAGAATGTAATTGGAGGAGCTATGAGTTTTTGCTAAGACAGGTCAAGATGACAAGTAGGGATATGCAAAATTCAGCAATTCAGGAATGGAATAGTCTGGAGAATTCCAGAATATTTTGTTTCCTCTCTCAACAATGCCAAATTTCTCCCAGATCATGCCCTTCTGGGGGTGGTTTTAATTCCCTGGAAGCAGTTTGAGGTATCCCATATATGGTATTCAGTCTCCCATCCAAATGGTAACCAGGCCTGACTTTGCTTAGCTTCCTAGCTGAGGTTATCCAGATGTTGCCATCTGCTGAGAAAAAGTGAAGTCTCTGAGTTCAGCTTGTCTCCTAGCAATTATATAGACATGTCCATGTTGTTTTCCTGGCAACAGTATGGAAATAGTTTGTCACTGCCTTTTTCCATAATTTTTATTTTATTTTATTCCCAGTCAAGTTTAATGACTTAGGATTCTGGGTGATCTCTCAGTAATCAAATCTGATATGGTGTAGCTTTTTCAAAATCATCCAAAATCCATACTGTGGATTATCAGGAGTCAAGCCTTGATGTGAAGGCAACTTTATGTTTTTATGAAAAAAAGTCTAACTGCATTCAGATATAACACATTAAGGTTTGATGTTATATTAATGAGCTCAGAATCATGCACTTTGTGTTATTAGCCTGAATGAAAGATCGACTCTTAGGAAAATATTTAGCCAGTGGTTTATTATTTACAAAGGAGAGGAAATCATACCAGGTACCTATAATAAAAGAAATTGAATCATTGTGTTTATTATAGGCATAATTGTGTTTTATCAATTTGTATGTTAATTATAGACATAATTGAAAGTTTTGTCAATCTATGTCACTGTTCAACTGATTCTTCCACTAAGAAGCTATTTTCAGTCATGTCAGAAAGGAAAAAGAGAAGTACTACTGTTAATCTTGAGCACAACAGGAAACACTTTGGCATCACAATCAAAGCCTTGGTATGTGGGAAATTTTGTATGTCTGGGATGTAATTCTGATCACACAAAACTGGCTGAATTATTGGTCAGTTACTGATCCAAAAGAATATTATTGTTGTTGTTAATATTACCCTCTACTAGAGGAGTCCAGAATAGTTTTACATAAGAACAATAAAAATCATCTGAAATAAAATTATTAACAAGAAAAACAATACTTTTAAACACTTCTTATCAAAATTAAATCAATAAAGGCATCATAATAGATAAACTAAGACACAGTCTTATCCTGGAGTAGTTGTCCTACGAATGTTTGGGTGAAAATTGTTGTATAAAAGAAGACAGTGTGAGGAGCAGTTGTATGTCCTTTGGGACAGAGTTCTATAATTGAGATGCTGCAACTGCAGGTAGTCCTCACTTACCAACTGCCTTGTTTAGTGACCATTTGAAGTTACAACGGTTGGAAAAAACTAGCTTTGTGACCAGTCCTTGCATTTATGGCTGTTGCAGTATCCTGTGGTCATGTGACCGCCATCTGGGTGCTTCGCAACTGTCACACATTTATGACTGTTGCAGTGTCCCGTGGTCATGAGATCACCATTTGTAAGCTCCAAAATCAGCTTCCAAGAAGTGAAAATAATGGAGAACATGGAAGTAAAATCACAAGTCACGGCCACGTGATGTCTCACTTAATGACCATGGTGATTCATTTAATGATGGAACTGGAAGTGAAGCCGTAAGTCTGGCGCAGTCACATGATTTTTTGCTTAGCGACCACAGCACTTAGCAACAGAGTTGCTGGTCCCAATTGTGGTCAGTAAACAAGGACTACCTGTAACAAGGTAGTAAGTGAGGACTACCTGTATATCCTGGTTATTGCAGCTTGGATCTCCAGTAATACAGGGAATGGATAATATTAGGAGAAACATGTTTTAAGAATTAGGATTGCACTTAAATTTGATTGGAAATTATTGCTCAGAGAGATACCAACAAAACAGAAATGCATGCCCAAATGGGGGAAAAAAAAATTCATCCAATTCCTGAATACTTAATATCTGAACTGTAACTAAACATTAGAGAAATAGTATTCCTGGATAATATTGCTGCACATAGCTTTCTTTGGCTGTAAGAGCAGGACAAATGGAAGCTTCTTTTCTAATCTCTCCCTTCTATGCATCAAAAAGAGAGATACCTGTATGTAACTTTTTTTTTTTTAGCCAAGGGCTTCCAAAATTGCAGTCAAAGGAAGAGAAAAACCAAAATTCATTTAATTTTTTAAAAATTGCATTAATTGAAAGTACATTAAATTAACTAAAGTTGACATTATTACTTTCCACATATTGAATAATGTTTGTCTTCTATCACATTAATTAAGAATTACAATTTGGTAGCAAGTTTGTGAGGACCTGTGAAATCCCTTCCTCCTCCCAGCTTTCAAGGGCTATAAATAGTTCTGCAGGCCCTGTGCATCTGTGATATGAAGATCACTGGAAGCCAGCAGATTAAAATCAGGCAGTAGATCTCCCAGAGAGCCTTTTCTGTAAACTCCGCGTATGTCAGCCCCCAGCTCCAGCTAACAACCCTCAGCTCTCACTGAAATTCTCGCTGCTTCTCAGATACACTCACTAAGCACAGATCTCAAAGCTGTTGTCCGTAGATGAACTACCCTTTCCAAAAAGCATCCCCAGTCATTAATAAACATAATGAACCATTTATCAGATCTTTTACCACTTATTTGCTCTGGTCAAGCAAACTAGGCTATTTAAAAACTG